CTCCATAGCAATAATTAGGTATTAGCCAGGTTCTACTGACAAATCCATCATCTTTTACTGCGGAGTCAGTCCGGTAAATGAAACGGTTAAAAACCATTGTGACATCACAATATAGCATTACCCTTTGCAATTATATAGTCGCCTTATTAAATTGAATGTTTAGTGTCGTTGTAATGGGAAGGCAGCGGACAACGAATAGAAATGTAATGATTTATAATGTGATGTAATACGATTTATAAGATATTTGCTTTGTACCATGATATATATTATCATTAGTTGTATTAACAGTTAGTAAATACATTTGTAAATGAACTTATTTCGTATAACAAGATCTAGAGGTGTTTTTTCTTTCTTTTTAACAAGTTTCAAAAAAAGAAAGGAAATTCTGTTAATCACATGAAAAATGTAAGATTCTCTTTATAGGCCCTCCATCATTAGGTAGTGGGATGTTCAAAGAATTGATACTTCAAAACTCAATGTGTTGGTTTTGCTCTGTGCCAAATCAATTTTTGAGTCTGGTCAATGAAACAGTTCATGCATGTAATGTTGTCTTGCCAAGGGTGCAGTAACAGAATCATCATTTGTCTCCAGGTGTTTAAAGGCAGATATCTGCAGGCAAATCCTATGAGACTGTACATTAACATGTAAACTCCCAGATATTAACTAAACTACAACTGTACTGATATTTAAGTTTAAAGAGAGAATATTTTTACCAGTATCGAAGCATTTTGATTGTACATGGTTTAATTGTTTCCAGATTATTTTCAAATTCAAAACATTGATCTTTTCGCTTGGTTAGATAAAGATTATGATAACACTAAGGTAGCTTTGGTGTGTTATATATGTGCTGGTCCTTTTTATAAATAGTTTTCCTATTGTTATAGTACATGGTTTTATAAAATATCGGGTTCATCTGGTCCCAAGGCATAGTGTCAATCATCCATCCTTCCACCCATCAATAGTCAGAGGGGTATTTGAAACACCTAGAAAAAGTAGAAATACGGTTGACTTTCCAGGCTTTGTAAAAAGAAGATTTAGTTATATTGGCGTGCTAGTATCGTATTTAGCACATTGTATATCATTATGTTATATTACAAATCACGGATTTGTTGCTTAAAAATTAAGAACAAGGATTGATGTTGCAACAACCAAGCAAATATATTACATAAAAGAATCGACTTATTGACTGCTATTTATAAATGTAATTCATAACTCTTAATGAGAAATAGAATGTACGAGTTCGATGAATTCGAGATTTTATCTATATTATGTATTTGTATTGGATAAAAACATTGCCACAACAGAGAAAAAAGTCATTATAAAAATGTTGTGGTTAATCAATTTCTAATCATTGTCCTTCTTTTCCTTAGTGTAATGGGTTACTTTAAGATACAGTTAACGGTAGATGTTGTAGATCCCTTCCGATCCAAATCCTTGGTCTTAGATTTTTCAGTGGTTAATCTTCAAATTTCAATTTTCATTCTTTTTTTAAATGTATTTTTAAATTCTAGATCTTCTCACAGTTTTATTTGTTTTAATCAAATCCAGAGGTGTCTTTATCACCTGAACAACTCAGATGATTTCATGGTATATTGACTGTAGAAATGAATGGAATAATTTAGGATATATAGAGTCAGACGATGAATAATTAGTCCATAAAAGGCTTATTGTTAACACCTGTTCAGGTAAACCACGCGGGTACTCATTAAGGGGTTCACTGGTGCGTCCTTCGAAATAACTTACCTTATACACTCATATAATGAAATGTTGTTGTTATTCAACAGACACTGTTTAACTGAATCATAACAACTGATAATAATGGAAGGTGGTTTATTTTTAGTTGTTTGTGATTTTGAACATAAATATTTAAGTTGAAAATGAGTCCAATATGTACCGTACTATTACGGACTAGTAGATGTGTATCATAGGTGTAGGCTACAACAAATACCTATATAACCATGACTGTACGGGTCTCCTTATTTATTTAAATGGTTTTGCGTCCCCTGTTACGGCCTTTCAGCGGAAAAGTCGGGTCTCCCGATAAAACGGTACCTTGTAATTTCATAAAATCATTCATCATTTCGCACTCAGCTTGACATGGCTTGGCCAGAATTTACATAGCCATCCCGTCGCCAGAACACTGGCGTTCGACAGCGAGACGATACCCGGACACGGGAGAAGTCACGGACACGTTCGACAGCGAGACGATACCCGGACACGGGAGAAGTCACGGAGACGTTCGACAGCGAGACGATACCCGGACACGGGAGAAGTCACGGAGACGTTCGAGAGCGAGACGATACTCAGACACGGGAGAAGTCACGGACACGTTCGACAGCGAGACGATACCCGGACACGGGAGAAGTCACGGAGACGTTCGAGAGCGAGACGATACCCGGACACGGGAGAAGTCACGGAGACGTTCGACAGCGAGACGATACCTGGACACGGGAGAAGTCACGGAGACGTTCGACAGCGAGACGATACCCGGACACGGGAGAAGTCACGGAGACGTTCGAGAGCGAGACGATACTCAGACACGGGAGAAGTCACGGAGACGTTCGACAGCGAGACGATACCCGAACACGGGAGAAGTCACGGAGACGTTCGACAGCGAGACGATACCCGGACACGGGAGAAGTCACGGAGAATTTCGACAGCGAGACGATACCCGGACACGGGAGAAGCACGGAGACGGAAAACCTGTCAATCAATCAATACAACTCCATACGATACCGGAACGTTTGGTCTTATATTTCTCATATTTTCTGAATGGATATATTTCCTTTTCTCCTTTTGTTCTAATAGCTTCAGACTAGGCATTCGCTGTCGGTGATTGGGGATGCCGTGCCCATAGATATCTAATCCTATTGTACAAGCTGTCAAGTTACTATCATGTACAAATTGGTGTTCTACAGAATGTGTGCCTTATCCGATTTACCTTTGTATGATGGGGCCTATTTCACTTGTAAACATATATATAGTTCTGAGTAGTAGATGTCATTGTAACAGGCAGTGTTTCAAGTAATGATGAAAGAGGTTTTTGAAATACTATCATGAAGTATTTGAGCAGCTATACTAAGAGATGATCATTCGACTGATGTAAGGAGTAATTTTCTTATTTTACTGTAACATGCTGTTGTTCACTGACGTGTGCAAAGTAGTGTGATTGATTACAGTTACCTTTTGTGTTTGACAGTAGTATCATTTTGGTCACAAAATAAGCAACTAGCCTATAACGTGTACAATACATAGTGATCTTGGGCTTACTAGTGATGAATACAGAACATGTAGACAGAAGACTTGATTTGTTGACTGGTTTATGGTATCAGTGCTGCATATGAAGAGAGTGTATACTTTGTATTTGACTGGTGCAACATAGGACTTAAGATAAAGTAGTTTGCACTTCAAGCAAGGTCACACTGTACTTGTTTTCAATATCGTCATGAATGATGTGATTGCTGTTGCATCAATTTTTCAAACAGTTATTGGATTGTAGGTTTACCTTCTATGCACATGTATGTGAATGTTCAATGTGAAGGCAAACAACATGCTGCATTTCATTAGAACCTGTAAGCGAGATCCGATTGTATATCACCTTACATTGTTTTGCTGTGGTCTCCTCATTCCTAATGCACCAAAATTCAAGAAAGTAGCGAGTGGGATTATGTTATTTATAAATTACTCATATTAATACCAAGGCATACTTTTATTGTGCACCTGATTTTCTTGTGTAATTTTTGCAGATTCACCCTGCAATATTGCTATGTATTAAAATATGAATGAAAATGTCCCTTAGTTTCATGTTTTTACTAAGACTCCCACAGTCACACTGCATGTGCCTATATATATATTTAATTAGTGCATCTCATGGTCAGAGGCTGTTAGCTGCTATGTGGTACTTTGCATTCAGTGTTCTACATGCTGATATAACTTTTAATAAATTGGCAATATGTATTCACACTACAAATTAAGTGCGTAAATCCTGGGGTATATTGTTCCTTACCCCCATCCCCCTTGAAATGAGGTCCAGCAAAGACAGTCGCATGAATGACACTGATATATAATTATTTGCACCTTGATATGAAAGCCATTAAGAAATAAATTCATTTTGGGGTGAACACCTGTCCAGGGACCAGGTCCATAGATCCACAAGGTCGCTTCTATGTAGTTTTTTTCGTTGCCACAATCAAGTTATTTATTACTATTTTAAAAAAAGGATGAATTTGAATCAAGTGCTATTCATCATTTCTTGATTCTTAATTGTTCTATTTTACTTGGGGGGGGGTCTTCTTTTTTGGGGGTGGGGGTGGGGGGGGGGGGGGGGGTTGGGGAGGGATGGGTTATTTTAGTTCAGTCTATTATTAGAATTATCCTATGCACAATAAATGAGGAGTATTTTTTTTTAATAATAATTTTTACATTTTAAGTATTTCCGTTATTGTTTCTTTAATTTTGATTCCCGATAACTCCACTTTGAGATTACTACAGTATAATGTTGATACGTGGGTTAGTGACCAAGCTACACTTATTTTAGTGAGATTTCTAGCATGAGGCCCATTGTGTAGCTATACCTTCCCAAGATGGCGGCGCTGCAGACATGTTGCGTCAACAGTCGCGGATAGGCCGTGCGGCATCTAGGTTAGATATCTATGGCTGTGCCTATCAATTTTAACACGGTATGATATAGTCACCGTATGCCTACGTCATTTTTCAATCGGCAATCCTCGGTTATTTCCGGAAAGTTCGTAATGAAGAGTTCTTTCCTTGTATGGCTCCGAAACCGTTTTATCTGCCTTGTCTATGAACGAAATAAAGTATCTCGTCTGTGTAAATGTAAATGACCTATATATGAAAACTACTAAATACATTTACTGACAGTATTAAATACCATGCAGATGGATCCTTAAAACAATCGCAATCTCAGTCACGTTAAAGCTTATCTTGAAAAAGGTCATTACAAGCGTTTTAATGATACTAGAGGCAATCGTCTGCGAAACATGGCATCCACTGTCGAAGCTGATTTTCCCGTTGAAGGGATTCTTCCCAAAAAAGAAACTGGAGCGGCAGCTTTCTTAACGAAATATCCAGACTACGACGGAAGAGGTGTCCTTATTGCGATTCTCGATACGGGAGTGGATCCTGGTGCACCGGGATTACAAGTACAAAGCTTTTGTCAAAATATACACACCAGCAAGCACACACTTGTTATGAATCAGCTGTTTTGATAAATTCTTTTGTATTTCTTGATTCATTGTTTATTTTTTAAATTTGTTATTTTATTTGTTTTGTTACTGATGGAAACGATCGAAAGCTCATTCGATAGCGTTTGATGGTGAACAGTATGCTTAATGTGTAATCGTGTTTTTGCCAACCGTTCAACACTAATATGCATGGCCGAGTTAATATGTGGGTCAATTCGCCTTAATTAAGAATTACCTCAATTTATTAATTTTACCTTTATACCCATTTGAATTGAAATATACATGAAATATGCGTTTTGGAAACGCCATTTTAGTTTTCTGTAATACAAACGTAACATTTATACAAAGCAAACAATTAAAGAAAGGGAAAGGATGTCATAGTAATTATATATATGAAGGTCAAATTTATGCAATGACCAATCAAATTTGGGCAACAGCGGTATAATAGCTGCCGGAGGTATTTGACATGTACCTGATTTACCTGATCTTTGGTCAACATTTTATTAGCCATTGTTTTCTAGACCACCTAGATATCTCCTACACTTGAATGTACTTTGGGTTGTGCATGTTCTGGATCTATGTACAATGTTTTAAAAACCTCCCTGATATCTCTTACACTGAAAGAGTGTTAGTGCCAAAGTTTAAAGTTGTGTCATTTAGTTTTATTTCCTTCCACCGAGCAGAACATGTCCTTTCTATTGGAATCCTAATCTTTTAGAATCCAGTGTCAAATATTATTCCAAGATCTTTTTCCTGGATTGTTTTAACTATTTCTGTAGATATTCAAGGTGTACTGTTCATTATATTTTTTCTCAGGACTGACTGCTACCTATTACACATTTGTGTGATGATTAATGCACAGAACATATCTTCAGGGTAGTTCATCAACATATTGATGATAATATATGTTCTTTTTAGATCATCATGTGATCACAACGACCTTCTAAAATTTTCAAAATCTGTTTGAAAATTAATTATTCTTCCTTCATAAAATATAACCATCTGAAGGTGAAAGTATCATTCTGGTCCCCAGGACTCAATCTAGTAATTGCCTGTTATTTGTGAATTCTGATGATTGTAAGTTATTTGAGACCTTGATTTCAAATGATTTTGATGTTATTGATTTTAAACTTTGGAAATATTTTGTTCATTGCACCAGAGACCAATTGCAATCTGTCAAATTGGAATATCTTTGATTTGTCAGTTTGGTGGATGACACAGATAAAATAGCACTCGAGACCTCATTTTACATATAGGCAACTTGTGGCAGGTTCATTTCCCCTTACAGATGTAAAAAGGGAAAAAAGCATTAAGTTGCCTGCTCAGTAATGTGGTTATTCCTGAGTACTGCACTTTCTGTCCACATTAAAACCCTTTCTTATGCTGTTATCCACTTCAGAGGGTGGATGGTAGGCAGGCAAAAAAATATTTTTAACAAATAGATAATTTTAACTGGTTTATACAATAGAGAGATCTGGACTTGCCTTAAAAAAGTTTAGAGTGAGCACAAAATATAAGGTGAGGTAGGTGTGAAAACTGGTTTTTCTGTTGTCTGGCCTTGTTGTGTAATAAAAGTCAGATTTATCAGCATAGACAATAACTGACATCAACAATAGGTCATAGAACATAATGACACTGACAATATACATGTTATAACACTGACTCAGCAAAAAGACTGATAATAAATAATGACCCTGAGAAATTGACCTCAGCAGCTGGAGTTTGTGAGAGAAAAAGGCACATATTGTGATTTTTCTAAATAGTTTTTTTTTGCAAATGTTATGTTTACTTTTTGTATCTTATGTATAATAGATGCAAATCAAACTCCAAACGTTACGGTTGCATTTCAGACTACGACAGATGGCCGTCCAAAGATTGTAGATGTGATCGATGCCACTGGTTCTGGTGATGTAGATACTTCAAAAGTGGTTGAGTCAGAAGATGGAGAGATAACTGGTGTCACAGGACGCAAGTTAAAGGTAAAACATGTAATAGGGAATCTTCACTTCAGCTGTACATCAACATATGCCCATTTTGCCCTTTTACCAATTGATGTTATGGTAGAACTTTTTTAGGTATTTAAAGATGATTTGAAATTTGTCAAAATTATTGTTCAGTTTACTTATGAATTATTATGCCAAAACTTCAGTACATTTTAGTTATAGAAAATATGGTGTTAAATTTATTTCTTAATGCATAGATCTATTCATCATCAAAAGTTACACCATTTACCAATATTACACAACACTAAAGATAATAATGGTTATCTGCCATTTAGATTCCAACTACCTGGACAAACCCTTCTGGAAAGTATCACATCGGAGCCAAGAATCTCTTTGATCTGTACCCAAAGCGTCTGCAGGACAGAGTGGTAAAGGAGCGAAGGGAGCAGACATGGGACCCTCCACACCGAGCAGCTCTGGCAGAGGCCTCTCGAAAACTTGAGGATTTTGATGCTAAATGCTCTAATCCTAATCAGGTAAATTTAATAAAAAAATTGAATTGTGCAGTATAACGAGATCTTATACTGTAAATGTTGTTATTCTTCAAGGGGTTTTATTGTTTGGTATTTTTAATGGTTAAATTAAAAAAGAATAGATGTACGCATGTACATTGAAAATTAAATAAATAGAGAATACTGTAGCCTGTGTCATAATTTCCCAGGAATAAAAACATCCCATTTACTTTAAACTTTAGGTGAAACCTTGGAAATTCTGAAACATCAAAAAGTATAATAACTTAATTTCTCTTGTTAGAGGAAGACATAGGCTGTACTTGGTTTCATTTTAGTCTATGTTCATGTTATTCCTTTACATTCTGTGAACTTTGATTCCAAATTAGGAAGAAAAACTTGTAAAGGAAGACCTACAGGCGAGAGTTGACCTGCTGACAAGTTTAGACAAAAAGTACCAGGATTGTGGGCCAGTGTTTGATTGTGTTGTATTTCATGATGGCAATACATGGAGGTAATGTTGTTTTACCTTTTGTTTATATTATTCTTTTAAGACAACTGAGATTTTTATTTTTTCCTCTATTGTTTCCCACTTTTTCTTTTACTTTTTTCCTTTGTTTTGAACATTTAGGATTTATCTTGGAAACAAGCTATTACTAATTTTAAAGTAATTTTATTACTTTGATGGAATTCATACTGCCCCTTGTTAAAAAAATACGGTGATAATTCATTCCCAATTTGAATATCTAGTTTGAGCTTTGTTGGTCCTGTTTTTCTAGCCATATATAAACATACATTTGTAAATGTTTTACGAACAGAGCCTGTGTTGATACAACAGAGAAGGGTGATCTCGTTGATTGTAAACTTTTGGCCAACTTTGCTGAGGAGAGACAGTATGGAACATTCAGTCGTCAAGGTGAATATAGAACCTGAGAGTGTCATTAAAATATATTGATGATAAATGCTGACCATTGCTTGTTAGATTTACAAGCCTGACCTTGGTATAAACAATAAAAGCACCTTTGTCTGGAAACAATTGCAATAGGAAAATTTATTTGGTTTTTGTGGAAAATCAATTGAACATGCAGTTAATTCTATATGACGTGCTGAAATATAAACAATGAGATGTAAACAAAAGAGGAAAATAAATAAAAGAAGCAGAGTCAATGTTGATGAAAAGGATAAATCAATTCTTGGCCCTCTGCCTGGATACCCAAAGGTATGAAGGTGTTGACGGATTGGATCAGAAAAGATGTACCAATAAAGACTAGTTTGGGCCGGTCATATATATTTTATTTGAAGTTCGGTAGACTGATTACTGACTAAAAATGCATGTGTAATGTTTCTTCAGCATCTGATTCAAAAGAGGAGAAAATGCTCTCAACACATGGTTATTTCCATACATTTAGGACAGTTTATTGATTGTTTATTTTTAGATTGGAAGCAATGTGTCCTTTAATCTATAGTAGACTTTTAAACTTAAAACAATTGAAAAATCTTCATTTTCTCTTTTTTAAGATATGCTGAATTATACCATTAACATTCATAATGATGGAGATGTTTTGGAAATGGTAACAAATGCAGGTAAGTCAAATTTGTTAACTTTAGAATTTTATGTACCTTTAAATCAGTAAACTGGCGTTTGACAAACAAAAAAAATCATGATGAATTTCTAATTAGTCTTAAATGTATCAGTGTGATTTGAAAGCTCTCAAGAACATCTGAATAATTTCCTTTGTGGAGACTTTAAAATTTCTGATAATATCTTCCACGCTTTATAATTGAGCAAATATGTTTTCTGGATTTTAGATTGTATTTTAATATTGTACATGTACATTTCTCATTTTGGCAGCTTTTGGTAGAAGGAAAATGAAATTAAAAGCTTTACAAGGATAAAAATTCAAATTTTACCCAATTTCTTCAATTTGTCCTATTAAACCAAATGTTAGGATTGAAAATTGACAGGTTTTAAGGATTAGATGTGAAAGTCACCTCTCAATAGAACAAGTGTACATGTATGGATTCTGTCATACATGGTCATTGTTGGGCAGTCAATATTAATATGCCTTACTCTATCTGGTACTATTTTTCTTCTGAAAGGCTCCCATGCTACCCATGTCGCTTGCATAGCTGCCGGCTATTTCCCTGATCAGCCAGATCGGAATGGAGTGGCACCAGGTGCACAGATCATCTCCGTCAAGATTGGGGATACCCGTCTTGGTTCCATGGAAACAGGGACAGCCCTTGTTAGAGCTGTAAGTGGCCTTCCTATTATTCAATCAGTTGTTGACAGAATAGTTAAGCATTGTCACTCATATATACATTCATTGTTTAAGATGTGAAAGTGAGAATAAAATGTCTGAAATAATTCTATGTATCAATAAGATTTCTGTCTTGGTAAATTACCAGGATTTATCTAAATGTGACCGAATTATAAAACCAACATCCAATTAGAAACTGATTCTTGTCAAGATTTCATACAAAATTTGCTTTCTATTCAAAAGTATGACACAGATGTGACAGATGAGGTCCCATAATTGTATTCATTCCAGATGATCAAAGTGATTGAGCACAAGTGTGATTTGGTGAACTACAGTTATGGAGAAGCTTCTCACTGGCCAAACTCAGGGTAAGAAACTGGTCTGTGTTTAATGTAGCAAGATAGAGACCAATCTGTTGAAATGGTTGCCTGTAAGATTTTTTTTTTTTACTAGGAAACTAAATGATTTTGCCTTTTTATACATCTTCAAAGTCAACAATGAATTGGAAGTAGAGTTTTCCTTGTAATGATATATTGAAGTCAGAAGCAATGAGTTATAGTTATGGGTGGGGGCGAAAAGATAATGTTAACATTAAATGACATTTGTGTACTTGTTAGTGATGGGTGCCTGTAAAGATGCTGCTTTATCTGTATTATATAATACTAATTTGAAAAAAAATAATTCAAATGAAATCAGTAAGGGGATGGAAATATGGAACTCATTGGTACAGTAGTTACAGGTTTTGTTGTTTACACAGTTGAAGGAATGACATATCTAATATTACCTTCATTTCCATCTGCAATAGCTACTAATATTTTGTCAGTCAGTGGGCAACCTATTAAAATCAGATATTGATTTGTGCTCCTGTTGCAAAAACTACATTCTGCTGCCATTGAGTGTATTGGTAGTTTACGAAAACCAAAGCATAGATATAGATGTGATTGTAAGTAGATTTGTCTTTTTTCATTTATTTTTTTTTTTTCAATTTGGTTTTACACTTAAAACAATAGTTAATGCAGAAAAGTTGTCAAAATGTTTGTTTTTTTCAGGCGTGTAGTAGATATTCTAAGTGAAGCCGTCAACAAACATGGTGTAATATTTGTATCCAGTGCTGGAAACAATGGACCAGCCTTGTCTACTGTTGGCACACCAGGAGGAACAACTGATGCCCTCATCGGTAACCTTTGACAATGCAGGACAAATGACAGTTCTGTTTTTAGGATATAGATGCACTAAAAGATAATTTTAAAAGTCAAACTTACATTCATCTGAATATACATGTAATGATTAATGCTTGAACAACTGAATGCCACTGTGTTGCACAGCATCAGGTTATTTAGTTCACTAAAATGTATTTTGGCTTTTTCCAATACAGTGGTACGACATAAAATGAATATTGTAGCATCAGGTTCATCCAAATGAAATATTCAATGATTGTTAATGGACCAGCTTCTCATAATGAAATTTGTTGCTATCAGAAAGAATTTTGTTAATGATATCAACTCTGATAATTTTGACATTGTCTTGTTTGCTTCTCTTTTTATAAAAGACTTGTCTATCAATGCTGGTTATTGATTTTTCTTCAGGAGTGGGAGCTCAGGTTTCACCAACAATGATGGCTGCTGAATACTCCTTGAGGGAAAAACTTCCCTGCATGCAATATACATGGTCATCTAGGGGACCCACGTATGTTTTGTATAAAAATAGAGAAAAAAAGAAGAAAAATTAGAGAGTTTATTGTTTACAAGAAAAAATGGAAATCATTAAAACTCATTAAATGAAACTTTTGAAAATGTCAATTCATACAAAGGAATAAATTAAATATTTTGTAAGAAATGCAAGAATGGTCTGTGAAAACCATTCTTGCATGCTGTACACGTCTATTATCTCAGATGGATAGAGAAAAAGAAATAAAACATCAAGAGGTTTTGTGTAGACAGAAATCTAAGGATATTATGATAGTTATTAAGTGTTCTCCTGATTAGTTTTAGTACATTATCATGATTATTCCCTAATTTTCCTGCAATCTGTGTCATTGTCTACCTACCCCCTACATTCACAGTCATGACGGTGACCTAGGTGTGTGTATCAGTGCTCCTGGCGGTGCCATAGCCTCTGTGCCTAACTGGACCTTACGAGGATCACAGCTAATGAATGGAACCAGTATGAGCTCGCCAAATGCCTGTGGATGTATAGGTTAGTTAGCTCTATTGCAAATTGGCAGATTAGAATTTGGTCACAGAAATTCATTTATGAAAATGTTTACATAGATATTTTCCCACTCCTTGACTCTTTAAGTCGGACTTTTTATGTTGACTCCTAGACATATTCCTAAATGAATGCTGTAAGTTCCACATATATGAGTCACCTGTTGTAATATGTCAGATGTTACAAGGAATTAAATATTGAAAAATATCTCTCCATTTACATTTTAGGTCTGTTTTTATCTGGACTGAAGGCTAATCATATAGAATATACACCATTCAGTGTCAAGCGGGCCTTGCAGAATACAGCCCAGAAGGTGGACAATATTGAAGTGTTTGCCTTGGGTTATGGCCTCATTCATGTAAGCGGAATACTTCTAAAGTTCTTCTAATTGGGGATTTGAATAGAGAAAAAATATCATCAAAGCATTGGGGAGTTTCAATTCTCTGTAATTGAAATTATTTTGATGCAACAAAGAATTGGGGAGTTACAATTCTCTGTAATTGAAATTATTTTGATGCAAAAACACAAAAGTTATTAAAAGCAATAGAAACCTTGATTGATATTAGTACTTAACTCATACCTTTGTAAAAACTTATAATTGGTGGGTGGGATTTTTTCACTGTATTCAGTAACTTGTGTTAACAGCAACATGTAACTGGAAACAATTATCTTACCTGGTAACATATAACATTGAGTATTAATTATACAGAAAATTAGATTTAAAATTAATATTTCATGTATAATTATATTTAGTACGGCTACATTTTATGAAATAATTCAAACTTATACTTTGGAAATATTTAATCTTTAAACTTTTGGCCAAAGCATCATATGAATTATAGCTGTTTTAAATGAAATGTCTTAGAGTTTCATAAACAATGTCTTCATTGTTTTCTCAGGTTGAGAAAGCTTATGATTATCTGAGTACATACCCACAATGTGCAGAGTCGAAGATCAACTTCAACATCAGCTGTACTGATGGTAAACGTGGAATATACCTCAGGGAACCTCATCACTTCAAGAAACCTTATGTAGTCAATGTTACCATTGAACCCAACTTTTTTGAAGACAAGTCAGGTTTGTACCCCTATATTATTAGGGTCAGTAAAATGTTTGATAAATGAGAAAGAAATTTGCATGGCATTGTATCTAGTTTGTGAATTATTACTTACCAGGGTTAGAATAACACTATATATATACACATATATATGAATGGACCGTGGGTCAGGAATTGGGTCAAATCCTTATGGTAAGAACAGTCATCTGTATGTTTATATAAAATTCAATGACATAGTATCATGTTTGGTGTATCTCTGTGTTATACAGAACAAGAAGAGAAGATTGCTCTAAGTCTACAGCTAGCTCTGACATGCGATGCAGCTTGGGTGCAGCATCCCAGACACTTAGAGCTGATGAATGTGGCACGCACAATCAGTGTCAAGGTGGACCCCAGTGGACTGACAGAAGATGCTCATTACACAGAGGTTAGAAACTGTTATTTTGTTATATATGTAAAATAAACATTCCCTAGTTAATTCTAATTTACATTTTATCAGCCAGACTTTTGTGTTTTATTGTGAAGATGAAGAACAAGTTTTACATGCGTTAATTCACACTTTCAGTGAAGAAAAAATAATGTAGAACATTTTATGACAAATAGATCAGTTAGTCTGTAATAATGACGTTTTATAGGATGTGTTAATGGCTTATCCTGTAAAATATCAACCCCCATAGCCCTTATCATGATTCTTTATTACTTCAGATTTGTGCATTTGATGTGAGTTGCGTGGAGAAGGGTCCAGTATTCAGGATACCCATCACTGTCATCAAACCAGCCAAGTAAGTGAGGCCCTTGTGATAATGAGAAATTGAATGTTATCCTAAACAGTAGAAAATTCAACATATAGTACTTTCATATTGTCTGTTCTTGGAGCAGTGTCACTAATTTTTAGAAGTTTGTACAAAATGATGAAATGAAGTTATATGATGCAGCTGCCCTCAAAATCATATGCTGCTGTAGGCAGAGTTTTATTATAACAAGGTATTGTTGCATCTGTCAAATCCTGCAAAGTACTGTTATGAAATAAAAGTTTGTATTGATCTTATCTTTGGTGTCTCTACAGGGTGTGTGATGAGACTACATACGAGATGTGTTTTAATGATGTACAGTTTAAACCTGGTCAGATTCACAGGCATTTTATCCATGTACCACAAGGAGCTACTATTGCAGGTAAATATCTTTAGGTTCCTGAAACTGATCAAGCTCATAGACAAAATGCTTTAAGGCATGTTATGGATAATTAGATAGAAATGAAGACATGCAAACTTTTTTCACTGAATTTACATAGCAATTATTAAATGTTTATATTACACTTCTTTCCATGGTCAGTGGACAAGGAATTTGAATTCGTTCAATTATTCAAGTATTTCAAACACATAAGAATGTAAAAAAAATTCAAAGAGAAATGAAGAAATGTTCTTTTGGTTGATGAGCAATATTTATCCATAGATCAGAAATGTTAAAAACATTCATGTACAAGCTTGAAGTCTAAGTTTTCCTTTTGCTTTACAAACTATGTTACAAATACTGAATTTGATGTTCTTTTTCTCAGTTTTGAATGTGAAGTCCTGGGACAAAGAGAAAAGCTGTAGAATGCTCCTCCATGGAATGCAAGTTGTTCAGCAGTATCAGTACAAGAAATTTGAATTCGAAAAATTTGTTACGATATCTAGTCAAGGGCAGACAACTCAAGCATTCCAAGTTGTTGTAAGTAATACTTGATATCTTATCCAGACAAAGTTTCAGAAACAGTAAAAATAATGTTCATTATTGTGAGATACAAACAACACATACCAGTGGCATGTTCAATTTTATTTCATAAATTAGATCAGTATTATTGTTCAAATGATATGGTTGTTATTGATTTAATGAAGTGATATTCACGTTAGCAAATTTCTGGCTGTTTTGTACCTTTTAGAACTCTTTCTAATGTCTTTTGAAACAATTATCAGCATCAGTATATCTTTGCTAAGATCAGTTTTGATTAGTGATATTGGTGGAAATATCCCCCCTCACAATATAAACTTAGATTGCCTGAATAAAGATCATTAGGGAAACAACCCAGTCACTGAATAGATCATTGATTTTATTTGAAGTATTAGGTAAATTCGTAGGTCTGTACACTGTATTTCTGTAAAATCTGCTGGGATTAGAATTCCATTGCCATGTTTACATTATTTCATGTCAATTTTAAAATATACACAGACATTCTCACTGTTCAGCTAACAAAAAACAAACCTTTTTGTAACTCAATCATGGTCAAGCTACTGTTTGTAAATCGATCTAGCTAGTTCTGTATAGAATTTCCACAAATTAAATATTGTATGTTTGTTTCTACAGTCAATCGAAGCATACATTCTCTGTAAGAACATATTACCAGGTAATTAGATCAATTATTGAAGATTTTATGAATCATGTGAAATCCAAATTTTTGCTGAATATCCCTTAAAGCATATTATAGATTTTGTTTCATCAAAGCAAGTTACAAAATTCATGTATGGAGTTTCGGTGTCACCTGTCACCTTCATACACAATAGTGAATATTGAAGCTTATTTATACTGAGTTATAAATGAAGCTTATTTATATTTAAATGCCATACATGAATTGGTTATTGTGATATAGGAAAGGTTAACATGTACTTACATATTACCAACCCCCAAAAAACATTTCGTTAGTTTATTGATTTTGAAGTACATTTGTATACACACACAGTTTTTTTTTCTTTACAGGACAACAGCACTTTAGAAATGTGTATAGCTAAATGGTGGGCAAACTTAGGGGATGTGACTCTTAGCTACAAAATAACATTCCATGGAGTCACCCTGGACAACTCCAGACCTACTATGGTATGGCCTTGATATCATATTTTTATTGAATTCAAAGTAAGATTTACATAGTATATGTTTTTTCCAGGTATTTTTCTTAATTTATTTATATCTAATGATGTAATTCTGTTCATTTCAAATTTTTTCAGCATTTGTCTGCTATTCAAAGGCAAAAAGCTAGTTCATAACACAATTTTTTTTGCTATTTTTTGTGTGTTTCAGTGATTTATCAAAGTACAATATACATATAGTTCATACAGAAATGTTCTATCGTAATGATTTAAAAAAGAAATGACTGGGGAAATTAATCACTTCAAAATTCTGCCATTGAGATTTGAGAATATACTTAAACTAAGAAAACTTTGGAGCCTTATGTTCTGTGAATCTGTTTCTGTTTGCAGCAAGGTGCTGAAGGTATTACCAGGTTCAATGTACGTGCCTTGTTGAAGAATGAAGATATATCTCCCTCTATAACTCTGAAGTCACTGGTACAACCCATCAGGTACTGTGTAGCTCAGGTCATTGATTGAACTAGGTTCATTGGGAAAATCATCATGTTTTTATACGCTGCTGGAAGCGGTCGTATATTGGTGTCATCTTCTCCGTCTGTCTGTCCATACGTCCATTTCTTGTGAACGCAACTCCTCCTAAACTAATCATCAGATTTTCATAAAACTTGCTCAATGTCACTAATACAATGGTTCTATGTGCATGAAGGGGTAATTTTACGGTTCATTGATTTTTGTAAGATTTATGCCATTTTATTTTGATCTTTATATTTTGTGGCAGCGTATATTGTGTACACGGCACTCTTGTTAACAGTTTCTTTGAGTGTTGGGAAATGCCTGATATCTAAATTCTGCCTCTGACTCTCTGAGCAGGCAACCATATGACTATAATTAAGATAATTAGGCTACAAGTTTATCTGGCTTTGACAGCTGGATGGTCAGGTGTTACAGGTATTCATAGCTAGTGTCATTTGACATTTAAATGTAGTTGTTGCACAAAAGTTCACTACTGGACACTCTCAGAAGTTATTGCTGTGGATTAAAACATAGATGACGCACACTAGTTTTACTAGCTAACATTTGCTGCTTTAAGATAATGACTAGCTTATGTGCTGTTTGGTACTGACATCTTCTTTAAGATCCTGATTGCAGTTTTGATTATTAGTTGTATATTCATGTTAATAAATCCAACTATTTGTTAACAGGCCAACAGAACACAAAATGAAATGTCTGTTTGGACCAAGAGATACCTTACCAGGAGACAGGCAGATATATGCTATAGAGCTTACATACAACTTCCACATTGTAAGTAAATGATTTATATGTGCTACGATCACTAAACAACTGTTACACAAATGTTCAATTCTAGAACATGATTACACTTTATGAGCCATTGGGTGACACCTGTGAGTGCTATATTTAACTGTGGTTTTATTCCTCGATCAAACATAAATAAGTATTGGAGTCACATTTCAGATAGTGTGAGTTTTCTTTGGCACTCCCAATACTTCAGGAGTTACATTCACTTATGCTATCTACACCCCCAGGAATATGTCATGGCAAAATTGAAAGTTCCATTTGCGACACCTTGTGGACAATATAAAGATTAGTTTTTTATTTACATCAAACAAATCTCAAGGCTACATAACGGTATATTGTAATGGCTTTTAAGTTGGTATGTCACTCCATTGTAATCTTCAAAAGGAGCATAGCAGCCTGTGATTGTTCTTTTTTTTTCTCCTGGGACCAATCAAATTACTCCTGATGTTCCTTCAAATTTGCCATGACATATACCAGTGGTGCAGAGTGTGTAGGGGATTGTATTCCCTGGAGTACCAAGGATGGATGCAACTTGGCTGATGTCATTTCAATACTTATTAATAGTGACAACAAAGCTCTTTTCTAAGCTTGAAAACTTCTAGGGTTAGGACAACACTTCACATTACAAAGAGGTGAAGTTTCTGTTAATCATCTCATTTTAATAGAAAAGGTGACAAGAGCTGTTACGATGCACTGATGCCACAACTGAAAAGTGAAGTAGAAAAATAAAAGTTTGATGAATGAAACATGCACATGTTTAGAATCTCACTGGGATGATGCATCTTGACTCCACTCTTTTCTTCCTTATATTTAAACAATGGAAAATTATGTCGTGTCTTTTGCTATCAATCCAGAGATCTTTCCTGTCAGATACATGAATATATGAAGCTTATATTGCATAGTATCAGTAAACTGGCCTTCATACTTCAGGCTGTTTGTACTGGTTAACAAGTATATTGCCTGAAGGCATTGGTTATCTGACCCCTCCATTGCAGCTTTCCCAAAGGAAAGGTTTGAAAAGTGGCAACATATTAGATGTGTTCTCTGATTTGCACCTAACGTCAGCCAAACTTCTGGCAAATAGAGAGTGATAACTGCCAACACATTTATTTGAAAACCATAGTAATGCCAAACAGGAGATCAGTAGATTTTTTTATTTCCAATTTTGCCATCTTGTATATGTGTTTGTATGAAAATTTAAAACAGTAATGGCTTTGTACAAGATCTATCTATTTGCTATCAAATTTTAAAATTCCTTCATCGGCTCATTCCTGAAAATTGAATAAAAAAAACCCAAAAACAAAAAAAGAATCCTGTACCAAATAGAAGGGATATGTTTATCATTGCAGTCCAAGTGACTTTGATTTGTAAAGATTAAGATACATTATTTGTATATTTATTTCCAACAGGACAAGAATACTGAAGTGATGCCTGAATGTTCTATGCTGAGCGAGCTGTTGTATGAGTCTGACTATGAGAGCCAGTTCTGGATGATATTTGACTCTAATAAACAGTGTATGGGATCTGGAGATGCCTACCCACATCAGGTACAATGTCTATCAGTTGGAGCATCTACTGAATTGCACATTCAAACTATTTCTATTCAGTATCAACATTTTACAGCTGACATTAGCAATTCGGTTTCAAAATAAAATCCGACCAGTTGCTTTAGTTGTTTTATAAAATTAAGTTTTCATCCTTAGAGCTGCAGTGTATGGTAGGAACATGTAGCTTAGGAGTAGGGGTAGGTAGAGGACCCTAAAATGTATAATGTGGCTTAGGAATAGGGGTAGGTAGAGGACCCTAAAATGTACAATGTGGCTTAGGAATAGGGGTAGGTGGAGAACCGTAGAATGTACCATGTGGCTTAGGAATAGGGGTAGGTCGAGGACCCTAGAATGTACCATGTGGCTTAGGAATAGGGATAGGTGGTGGACCCTAGAATGTACCATGTGGCTTAGGAATAGGGGTTGGTGGAGGATCCTAGAATTTCCAACTTTAATTTGTAGAACACATTTAAGAATTGGGGTAAGTAGAATACTGAAAGTGGATGGCTGAAGAACAAGACCTCTGGGAGTTGAGGTTGAAGGAATGGATTAAATGGGTTGCATTTTCCCTAAACTCTTTTCTCATATGTCTTATAGATATGTAGGATTTGGAGATGCCCAGTCCCACACACATTCCACTCCAGTTCACCCAATATCTGATCTCCATAAAATGATTCTGTTTTGGTTCTGATAACTGTACATTGGACTGAACTCTAGGATTATTCAGACTGTATAATTTTTATTAATATTAAAGAAAAAAAACAGAAAAACAATTTTAAAAAGTGTTTCATCCCAAATGTCAAATTTAGAAAGTGTTGAAGGATATATTGAATATCGAACCTTTTTTAACAGTATAACGTGAAACTGGACAAGGGAGATTACACACTGGTGATGCTGATTCGTCAGGAGAAACGAGACATGCTGGAGAAGATGAAGGATGCCATTCTATTACTGCATCATAAACTTCCTAGCTCTGTGTCCTTGGATGTCCATGGTAGCTGGCAAAAAGCCTTCGCTGGCAAGAAAATGAACTCGTTTTCACTACAACAGAACCAGCTTTGTCCCCTCTTTGTTACCCCAATGACATCAGATAAGTAAGTATATACGGGTATTGCTCATCAAAATATCATGTTAGAATGGAAATAAGCTATTAAGGACTGTAGCAGGTTTTGATTATCTATAATTTTAAATATTCTTAACAACTATTTTGAAATAAGCCATCAGCTTATACTAATCATTCCTTTTTGACCTGGACGGAATCATGTAGGGTCTTATTGTGAGAGAAAACCAGAGTACCCGTCTAGTTGGGTAGGCAATCCCATACCTTTCAAGTATGATCGGGTAATAAACCTGTCATTTGTCTTGGTGAATGGTGAGTGGAATGCACCATCCAACCACCTCTGTTATTGAAATATATATTAATAATTCATGCAGTGCAGAATAAGAGAAGTTTTCTGCAGCAGAATTTATGTTTTTGTACCGTTCATTGTTGAGGATTATTTTCACTGAGATAGACTTCAAGTTGGTGTAACATATGTTTAATAATTAATTTAAAACTGGTTCTTTATATCAGCTCTTGACACCATTTCTCCAACATATCTGAAAAATTACAACAGTGTTACTAGAAACAGCATAGAAGGTACTAGCTACAGGTACCAGTTAGATTTCAACTGATATTAAATTCCATATTGTGCCATCATTTCAAAATCATCTTCATGATCAATTTTGTAGTTGAATTATGAATCATATTTCACCTAATCATAAAGTTATTTAGAAAAGTTTTAGTATTTATATTGAAATCTGATAGTGACACCGTAACGTTTAATTGATTATAAAAGTTTGATGTGTGATATATAGATATATTTGTTTTCATTTTTTGAAGATTGCCAAAGGTGGCCAAAGCGGGATGTTACTTGACTGGATCCTTTACTTTGTTGAAAGATGATCTACTGAGCAAAGCTGTGAGTGACATAATTCTTCCTGTGTGCTTTTTGTCATGAAACAATAGTTAATATAGAAAATTCTAATTATATGCTAAAAATCCAGTAAAAAAATCAGAATTCTATTTTACCATAATAGGGAAAGATAAATAGATTGTTTCATATTTTTAGTCCACCATGTGATCACTTCTATTTGACTAGATCAGATCTAAACAGTGCTGTTTCTGCAAAAGTCTTTGATGGATCATTCTCAGATTTCATTCGTAGGTTTGCCTTGGTATGTAGTTGTGCATAGTCCATTTTGGGGATGGCCAACATATGTCCATCTTTGTTTTTTAACATCCATTGTTATCGCTAATTCTGGAGATGTCTGATGGATGACTCTGAAATCTTATATGTAGGTTCACCTTAGTCCCTAGAAGTAGATAGTCCATTTCAGGATTTATTGGAAAAACAAGATGGCTGACAAGTGGCCATCTTGATTTTTGACAACCATAATTTGTTATTGCAATTTCTAAACAAGCAAAAAATGGATCATTCTCAAACTTCATTTGTAGATTGCACTAATATTCCATAGTTTTGCATTGTCCATTTTCGGATTGATACAAAAAAACTGACATGGTATTTGGTAGGTATAGTTTGTTATCGCTCCTAAATCTCTCCTAAATGTTATATATGTAGGTTCCCTTTAGTCTTTTGTTGTGACCTTTTGATTTTTTCTACTGAACAGAAAAACGAAATGCTAACAGTTGGTCATCTTTGAAATTTGTTATTGCTATTTCTTGAGAATTACAGAAAGGATCTTTCTCAAAAATCACATGTAACTTCTTTTTGGGTTGACTAGTAGCTATCTTGGAATTTGACTATGACAGTTTGTTATAGCTAATTCTTGAGAAGTACCAAATGGATCTTGTCGCTCAAATTTTATGATGATGGAACTAATCAGCAAAACAAAATGGCACAGGCAACAATATTGGATTTGAGAGTTAAAGGTTATTATCACAATTTTTTTTTTTGGGGGGGGGGGGGGGGGGGATTTTCAGAAATCCTATAAGTAAGAGAAAAACAAAATGATGAAAGAGAATAGAAGGGACAAGATTCTACTGTTAAAGAACAAATAAACATCAAACAGTGGTGGACACTAAAATCACTGCGAGATTTTTTTACGAAATAATGGTCGTGTTTAAACACGAATCAGACAATAATTTTCTCAAATAATTGTATTTTCATGGTGTCTATGGTGTCACAATTTCATTCCAAATAGTAAAAACCAGAGCCCTTGAAAATAACAACCCTTACAATAATGAAAATCAACGAGATAAACCAGTACTAAAACATAACAATGTGAAACACTGAAAATAGAGTGTGAAAAAACACCAACATATAAACCATAGAAATGCTGAAGAGTAGTAATGAAAATAAAGTGTAGTAGCAATGTTATTTGTAAAATGAAGAGAGATATTGGTATATCAACTGTAACAAAATATTAAAATGCTAAAATGATAAATTTCTTTGAAATTTTTAAGTGTATGGATTATTGGAATAGGTCAGTAAGTTAAAGCACTGGCATAGAAACCACCTTCATAGAAAGCAGTAGCATAGGAAACATAAGGATTAGATCAAGGTGCCTGGTATAGTGCTCCCTACCCAGTTAGTGTTTCTCAGTAAGTTAGGAAACAGACTTGTCCATATTGTCATTGGGTAGGACACTTTACTCTAAGAGCTCTGGATTCCATGTGACAGGCCTCCCTTATCTTATTTGTTGAAATATCTATCAGGTACTTCAAGATGACCTAGCCTCATCGAGATAGGTGTCAGGTACTTCAAGGTGGCCCAGTCTCTTTCAGATAGCTCTTAGGTACTGCAAGGTGACCTGGCCTCACTGAGATAGCGATCAGATATTACAAGGAGACCCAGCCTTTATCAGATAGCTCTTATGTACTACAAGATGTCCCAGCCTCATTGTGATAGCTGTCTGGTACTGCAAGATGACCTAGCATGAAAATGACCCTTGCTGTTCAAGGGGCAAAAAACCCAGAAAGCAAATATTGTTAAAGAGATGAAATCAACGTAAACATAAGTGAATTAGTAATAACTTGACTAGATAACATGACTTTGATCAGGGAACTGAATTAGTAATAGCTTAACTAGATAACATGACTTTGATCAGGGAACTGAATTAGTAATAGCTTAACTAGATACATGACTTTGATCAGGGAATTTAATGTTATTTCTCTTCTTACATTGTGTATTGTTTGCATTATGAAAATTCTTAATCCTAAAATAATGACCACTGTCAGATTAATTTGATGTATGATTTTATTGCAGAGTTCTGTTCCATTTCGTTATGTGTTGACCGAATCACCACGGAAAGTAAAGAATGGTGCTAAAGAAAAGGGAGATAAATCAAAGGAGAAAACCAAGGAAGAGGAGTATGGTGAAGCTTTAAGAGATCTGAAGATAAACTGGATACCAAAGTAAGATGTCCGGGTATTAAAAATAAAGCAAATGTTTTCAATAAAAATGACTTCTTCCATATTGTATTATAAGAACTAATATTTTCTACTTTTATTCTAGAATTCCAGTAATGAAATTTGAAAACATTTCAATCTAATTCAGTGATGTATCATAAAGAAAGGTTACACACACTTGTTGTTAGAACATTTATGGAGCTATATTTATCCATGAAGGATGTCCACAGACAAAGAAAATTGAGCTTGACAAAAATATATGATTAATAGTACAGGTGATGCATTCTAGTGTGATGTATGGTTACAGGATGGACTTGGATCATGCCCTGTTTGAGGAGGTTAGACAGGATCATCCTGACCACTTGCCTCTCTACATGGCCAGACTTCAGGCTCTCGATAGTAGTAAGGTCAGTATATAATGGAGTGCTTGTTCTTATGATTGTAAGATAATTCTGGAAAGATTTGTGAAATAATTAATGCGTTATTATCCTCATTGTATACAAATGTGTTTATTGGTAGGTATTTTATCTCAGTAAATTCTGTAACAGTAAAACAGTATCTAAAACTACACAAATTACCAAGTACAGTTTGTTGTGCACTATATTTATTTGAGCCCTGTAGGGAGACTTTCACAATCACAAATTTGACAGGTAAGCTTTCTGTGTGTGAGGGAAATAAATCCTGATCATTTAATTACCCAGTAAATATACTGGGACAACTTTTTACACTTTGTTACTAGTGACTATGGTACAATACCCCAATGGATAAACTACAGAATTTGACATTGATCAGTGTCTTGTGCTTCACTTTCAATAGCAATGTGACGGTCAATCGAACACTAGAGAAAAGAAATTATCACTGAATTTAACAATTTGTTGAGTCATATGACTTTCTGTATTGTATATGGAAATTCAGGATAACCTGCACATTTTGTAGATAATAACATTTTGTTAATAACATTTCAGTAAGTATCTATCATACATGTGTTAATTCTCATTTTTGTAATTTTGCTATGATCACAAAATTTGCGATGTAAATATCATGTGAAACAAGCTTATCTGATGAACTACTCTTTGTCTGGAACTAAAGATATATAATTCTTATTTTCCCTAACAGGAAAAGTCTAAGAAATTGGGAGCTATCATAGACTTGTCCAAGTTTATCATCTCCAAAATTGATCAAATGGCTCTATCCAGTTATTATGGTATGAAGAGTGATAACAGACCAGACGCCAGTACAATAAAAAGGTAAAATCTGGTTAGTGAACACTGGAAGTAGATCCAATGTGTAGATAGAGGCTTAATTTTATTCCTTGTAATGTCTTGTCTTATTCTAGTAAGAACATTAAAGGTGCTAAAGGAGTTTTTCTCCTTGCAGTATAAGGTTGTTTTCATGTAAATAGTTGGAATGGTTGGGCTGCTAGAACCTGCAAGAAAAACGCCAGGCACAGATCAGAACTGTGGCTGGACGCTGGACTGTTAGCAAGTTCAGATTGAAGGGTCCAGCTGTACCTGCCAAAAACGAACATGCTGAATATCATTTGTTTTCAAAATAAAGCAGGGTCAGTACATGCCAATATTTCCAGAAGCAGTTTGCTCTTATGTATAATGTGAAATTTTTAGTATATTGTTTTGTACTCGACATGAAAATCCAAAACATTGCATTTGAGCTTTACATTTATCAGTTCCACAACATCATGTATATGTGCATTAATGCATTGTAAAATAATTCCAGACCACCTGAACCATTTCAACCAGGTTACATGAAAGCAGCCTTATTGTCAGAAGATTTTGTAATCAATTTCTCCATGTCTGTAAAATTTCAAAGAAAACAACATCATAGATTCTTTTATAAGTTTAAAGTCTTGAAAATAGTCTGAGCTATTCAAACCTTTCATTTTGAGTTCAGATAGTATAATATAAGGATAGTGTAGAAAGCAGTAATATTTTATGCTTTGCAGATGAAAACAGAACAAATACATCAATATAGATGGTATACACACTAGTATGTACTATTTTTTTTTCTGAGATTGTCTCTAATTCTGATATATAAACAGTGTTTTATTGACAGCAGATATAACGATATACATTCTACTAACATTAATATCCTTCTTAATGTAACATTGGCTCTTTGTCATCTAACATAGTGAGATGGATAAAGAGAAGGAGATTTTGATAGAGGCTATGGTGAAGATGGGCTGTGCTCAGGCTGACATCCTGCTGGAACAAGGGCAGACAACTGTTGAGCAAACCAAGGCTGAGGAGGACGGGGAACAGTTTGTAGAGTTACCTACTGATACAGAGAAGGATCTAGAGGACACGCTGTCTGAGGTTCAGAAGTGGGCCGATCTGACAGATTCAAAGGTTTGTATGAGCAATCGTAGTATTATGGCATGGTATATGTTAAAGGAACGTCACTATAAAAACATTTTTATTGGGTATGTCTATTTTATACACTTCTAGTTACATTTCTGTGTGATCCTGATATCCACAATAGATTTCCAATGTCCAGTTTGACCACTCAATGTTGTCAGGAAACCCCTCTTACATTTAGAATTGATAACACCACATGACAGTTTTGAAAACGAGGTAGATCATTTGTATACACAATCATGTGATGGGAGAGAAACATTTTCATCACCAAATTTCTTAGGGACGAGTAGACTTGATAACTCAAATTTAAAAAAGTGATATTAATAGCCATCGTTTCTGTAAAAAGTTTCACTCAAGCTGTACATGTCTTGTAAACATCTTTATGTGCTTTAACCTAGTTCCAAAAGTATGAAATACAAAACGACTAAAACATTTTCACTGATCTATTCTCAGGTCTCCACATTATCGGTTCGTCATGCAATTTACAACAAGCAATATGGTCGTGCCTTGAAATTGTTGCTCAAACAAACGGAGGACAAGAATACAAAGGAAATGGACAAAAAGTGTATTGAGGTAATCCCCTGATTGATTGATAATCTTCTTTCAGCAATCTTAAAAATCATAAAGTAATGTTGGATTCAACAAGCTACATTAGTGGCACTAAGGAATTTTTTAATATATCAAATTCAGGTTAGTATTTAGTGTATATCATTTTGTTGCCAAACAGTTTGGGATAAGAGTACAAACCTGTTATTGCCATATGAGTCCATGCATTAAGAGTACCAGCCTCTTGTTGTTGCCTTACAAGTTTGTTTATAAGGGTATGAACCTGCTATGGTTGCCATATGAGTTTGTTTATAAGGGTATGAACCTGCTATGGTTGCCATATGAGTTTGTTTATAAGGGTATGAACCTGCTATGGTTGCCATATGAGTATGTTTATAAGGGTATGAACCTGCTATGGTTGCCTTATGAGTGTGTTTATAAGGGTATGAACCTGCTGTGGTTGCCATATGAGTTTGTTTATAAAGTTATGAACCTGCTATGGTTGCCATATGAGTTTGTTTATAAGGGTATGAACCTGCTATGGTTGCCATATGAGTTTGTTTATAAGGGACAAACTTCCTTTTGTCAGCATATGAGTTCCTTTATAAGGATATGAACCTGCTATGGTTGCCATATGAGTTTGTTTATAAGGGACAAACTTCCTTTTGTCAGCATATGAGTTCCTTTATAAGGGTATGAACCTGCTGTGGTTGCCATATGAGTGTGTTTATAAGGGACAAACTTCCTTTTGTCAGCATATGAGTTCCTTTATAAGGGTATGAACCTGCTATGGTTGCCATATGAGTTTGTTTATAAGGGTATGAACCTGCTATTGTTGCCATATGAGTGTGTTTATAAGGGTATGAACCTGCTATGATTGCCATATGAGTTTGTTTATAAGGGTATGAACCTGCTATGGTTGCCATATGAGTTTGTTTATAAGGGTATGAACCTGCTGTGGTTGCCATATGAGTGTGTTTATAAGGGTATGAACCTGCTATGGTTGCCATATGAGTTTGTTTATAAGGGTATGAACCTGCTATGGTTGCCATATGAGTTTTTTTATAAGGATATGAACCTCCTTTGGTTCCTATACGAGTTCATTTATAAGGGACAAACTTCCTTTTTTTTGAGTTCGTTTATAAGGGTATGAACCTCTTGTTGCTGCCTTACAAGTTAATTGATTAAGAGTATTATCTTACATGAAAATGATAAATTAATTAATGATGTTAAACTGTTATATCCTTGATTTCAGAAAGAAAGTCAGAAATTATAAAGTATTCAAATGGTGTGAATGGATATAATTTTACCTAATTATTCATAAATTGAGGATGAAGGCAGCATGTTCATGACTAAGCCAAGTAATATGATTATTTTCAGATCTACTCTTCCTTGGGATGGGAGCACTGTGTTCGTCATTTCAACAACTGGTTCCTTGTGAAGTTCCCTGCCAATCAACGCCTGTTTTGATAAATGCAGTTTATTTATAGATAACAACCATTTATAATCACAGTTCTGGAATATGAGTAGTCTGGAACTGATGAACATCAAACATCTGAGACTTCTTGGAACTGGTGAACATTACACCTCTGTGATAATTCTTTCAATGGTGTACTCATGAAGTTTGTTTCTGGGAAACAGTTGCTGCATACTTCATTTATACCTTAATGTTTTTAAAATTTGATGAGAAGGAAGTAAACCTTTGAATTTTCAATTCAAATGTATAAGATATTGGATATTAAAACACATGTTTAGATAAAATCTAGATCCCCAAAATATCATTTTTAGCGGGTTGTATCCTGTTAGTTTGGTGATTTCACATTTAGATTTTTTAATTATTTATAGTAAACTTATAAAGAACACTCACCAAGATGGATACTGCAATTTTTTTGTTCAAGATTTGTTTTATCCACTTTGAATTTATTTGTGAAAAGTAAAGAACAGGATGAATATCAATAGAAATTACTTCATCTGCTGAAATTTTCACTTCCCAAATACATATTTCATATTTCAGCTGCCTACATCAAACTTTACACATCTGATAGAATGCCAAAATTTTAATTTTTTATTTTTTTTATCTGCATGAAATATATTAGCACAGGTATAAGTAATGAGAAAAACAAAAAAAAGATATATTGGAATGTAAACTTTGCATTTTAACAATGTCAGGTTGAAAAATTAAGATAACTTGCAAAGAAAATTATTAAAAGTATATCAGAAGGGATAATTTAAAATTATTTACTCAAGATCATCTTGAATGTGAAAAGAAATGTCTTCTGCTGCTAATAATCTAATGTTAATCTGAGTATCTAGATGATTACAGTGTGTTCAGGATATTTACTACTGACAGTATATGTAAATGGTGTTCTAGATAAAGTTCATTTCTTGGCAATAAAGTAATGAAGATTTTCTGGTTTTCTGAATTCGAAAATTTCAGTCGGCAGTAATAGTCACAATGATATTATAGAACAGTCTGTGTAAAGTATTGATTTATATTGATTTATATAATGTTCAGTCATAGTTTTGATATGGCTAGGAATGTTATTATCCTAGACAATTGTGTGGAATTGGTAGGTTCTCCACACAAAAAAAAAAAGAAAAAAAAAATAGAAAAAAAATTATTGCAAATCATCAGATGTTGACAACAGTCATTATCAAAAAGTAAATTTGTTTGTTCCTAAAGTAAAATTGTTTTGTAGAACATGTAAGACTAATTATGAAACCTTTTGTGAAAAAATATCATACAGTTTGAACTTATGGATCTTTACATTAAAACGGGACCAATCTTTCTATGGCTGTTGTTCTTAAAGGTAGGCAGGTAGACAAGTGATTTTGATATGTTTGCAGATGGAACTGAATCGAGATGCAAAGGGCAGAAACAGGGTTCATTGGTGAAGCAAGGGGGCATTGGGGAGGCACAAAAGCTGGAAAGAAATTAGGATCGATCATTAAATAATTTGCTGCAAAAAAATAATCTGTATGCAGCTGTGTATTTGCAAAATGGCAGCTACATATCTGCAGGGCTGGACGTTGGAATTTATCTGTAACATCTAAATGTGATGCTGAAAAATCAGTCCTGATCTACACATGGGAGCATCAACATATCAACTGTATGTTCAGCATTCTCTCTCAAAATTCCTTGGTCAGGTTTGGTCTAAATAAGCTATAGAGCACTGGTTTATATAATGTGTTCATGTGATAAATCTAATAGATAATGCATAATCATAGATAAATTTTGTGATTTTTCAAAATGTTTTGTTTCGTGGTGGTAAATAATGCCTACCTTCAGGTTCTTTTGAGGTATTAGCACTGTATGTGAATTACATTAGATCATTATACAGAAGCCATCTTCAATTTTAAGCATTAATTGATATTCTAAATTCTATTATTTTTCTGCATAAAGATAGGATCATATAGAGTTTCATTTCATATGGGATTTCATGGGTCTTAGAGTCTTAGAAGTTTTTATTTATACAAGCATTGGTGAGCAATTTTAAAATAAATTCAAAGTCAAGTTACATCAAATCTCACATGGTATGGAAACAAATAATCATGATAATCTTACCACATAACTGAGAACAGTTCACTTTGACAGGTTTTTAAGTCAAAATGAGGATGGCAAATTCAAATGGAAGCAGTCATTTTGTTCGACTGATTTTAATGCATGACGTAACATCATTGTCACAATTGATTTCTGGTTGGTGAAACCAATGAAAAATTTCTGCAAAGTATATTACACCGTGATTTTCAACAAAAAATATAACTTCCAGGAAAATCCACTTGACAACAGGTGGATCGTGTGGTAAATGTGTTTCCCTGATCTTTTATGGCCGAGAAATACTTTTCATGTGTTCAAGTTAATTTTCTGGGCATTATTTTACAGAAGTCTTTCTTTACAGTTTAGTTAACAGTTCCACACTTTTGCTAAATTTATTAATTATTCAGTTATTAATGTAAATTTCCTTTGAGATGTCATACCAATTTCTGTCTTGTTCAGGACCCCTTGTTTGATACAATGGGTTTTTTTATTGTTACTTCTTGACTGATCTGGATAATTTTGCACACAAGTTGCACATACATTGTACAAAAGTTACAAACAGAGGAAAATGGGTTTTATGTTAATTGTCTTTTCCTGTCTGATCTTCGCATTGTAGATTTGTGTCAGATATTTCGTTCGTAAATAACTGATGGCTGCCTTACCAATTATCAGCCGGTCTGTGTAGTGTATAAAATAAATACTAAATATAATAATATACAGTTTATTCTGCAGTTACTGTAAACACGTGTGTAAATAGCTAGATCATCAGTTGCTACTTGAAAAAATTCTCAAGGAAAATATTTTCGAAGTGAGAATATGGTAACTACTTTGAAACATAAAACATTTCAGTTTTTTATTTTTACTTAAAAGTCAACATTTGATAGAAAAACTTGGTAAGTCTTATAGTATTTGTAGACTTCCATATATAAAATACCAAGCACTTTAAATTTGCATTTTTGTTTGCTTAAGTAGAAGTATGTTTACAGTGCACAATTACCTACTGAGAGAGATGTTTTAATTTTCTGTTCAGATTATAACATAATTGTAGATATATATACATGTGCCTGGTTTATAGGATTGTATTAATTATGGCTTCTCAGTAATCAAGAATATCTAGTTTATGTTTCTTGTTGTCTTTATTATTTAAGAATTCAGTGGTGATGGGCAAGGCAGGTTTTTCAGTCATCTAGTCAAACTATGTATTTTTATTCTTTTATTGAAGAAACTTGGTATGAGTCGAAGATCAATGTTTTCATGGTTAAGAGATTTTTTACAGTCTTTATGACAACAAAGGAAAAATGCTACCCACTAAAGATGCATTCCTGTTTAGGATGTAGACTCCCAAGTTTGCTATGTTTAAAAAGTGAATTTGACTTCATTTAAATGAACAACTCCAAAGATACCATTTTGTTTTCTTTACTGAAGGGTATATTCACACATTTCATTTGTGTTTTTATTTTTGATTGCGTAAATATAGATATAAACTTTATCTATTTTTCACTATTAGCAAAACAAGTTATAGCATCCTAATCACAGGCATGGAATGTGGGAGGAAACCGTAGTACAATGGAAAACCCAGGTGGTTGGGGAGATGACCCCTTAACACCCATTCTGTACCTCAAACCCCCACACGACTGAGTGAAAGGCAAGTGCATTACCACTGCGCCATCCGACCACCAAAATCTCCCTCATGAAAATATTAAAAATTTGGCAAGTATGAAAACCTGAAAAGTGACAGCAAGATTATTGGTTTATGATGAATGGGTATAATCAAATGGGTTTCTAATGGCTGCAATTGTCATATCTGTTGAAATTAAATACTACTGAATATTTCGTCACAAAATCGTCCTCAGGTATTGAATTTTAAAGATATTCAGGAAAGACAAATTTCCAGCAGCTTATCCGAAAGACTGTTTGCTTATTATGAATGAGATCAGTAATCTATCATAACCTACTACTTTTATTTTTCAACTGTCTTTGATAAAGAATTTTTACAAAGTAAATTGGCAAAGACATTCGTTTTAGAACCCTTTGTCATGAGTTATATTTGTTTTACGTATATTGAAACTCATTGTGGTTTTGACCTTTCTTCAAAGAAGGGACATCATTTGTACTATAGAGACTGCTATTTGTGCCAATCTAAGCTGTTAGTGTATATAGTATATACTAATAAGTAGTGTAATATTTTGTCCCTGGTTTAGACAGATTTTAGTCACTGCTTTTTACGGAAACCTTAAGTGTGCTGAATTACACAACTACAATATTTAATAATTTTAACATTAGTAAATTAGATAAAAATGTAATAAGACTAGTTATTACAGAATGTGTGAAAGGTAGACTGGTCATTACTTAGGAGGTTTCGCTGTACTGTATGTGTTGTTTACAATCTTGATTGAAATACCACTTCTTGTTGTACTATCATTTAGCAGTATAATGAGAGGGTAATTTAATCAGGTTGATGTTGTTTATGGATGTAAATTATGCATGTTATATTTGTGGTACACGTGAATGTGTGAACACATTGAAAAATGAAATGCATGTGTAATTTTTCAAAGGAAAATATTAAAGTATAATACAGCCCTGGGTTCACTTATTATATAAATTTCTGTTAAGTGGCCGCAGTCTTTTACAACAGTGTATTGAATATAAATGATGTCCTTCCTGATGTAGTTGTATATCTGTATCAGGTGTTTTCAATTTCCACCATTCATACATTAGCAAGACTCCACAAAATAGAAAACACCAAAATTTACTGTCCAAGAATTTTCTGCACTACAAATGGATTTTCCTATCGTATGGTAAATAAAAGACCCCTACTTGTTTGAAATTTTAAATTTCAAAATCAAAACTGCAAGATAATCCAATGAAATCGTGTAAAAGCATGAACACCTCATGATCAATGTCTTCAGCCTAGAGGATTGGATCAATGTCTTCAGCAGAGAGGATTGGATCAATGTCTTCAGCAGAGAGGATTGGATCAATGTCTTCAGCAGAGAGGATTGGATCAATGTCTTCAGCAGAGAGGATTGGATCAATGTCTTCAGCAGAGAGGATTGGATCAATGTCTTCAGCAGAGAGGATTGGATCAATGTCTTCAGCAGAGAGGATTGGATCAATGTCTTCAGCAGAGAGGATTGGATCAATGTCTTCAGCAGAGAGGATTGGATCAATGTCTTCAGCAGAGAGGATTTTTAAATTTCAATAACGAATCCCTTTCTCCTTATCAATAATACGAAGTTTTGTTTATGTATTTAAATGTCTTACAGATATGTATCATGAAATAAGATATCGTCTAGAGGATGTATGTTATTAGCTCCCCTGGCCCAAAGAGCCAAGTGACGTTATGCCATACCACGGCGTCCGTCTTCCGTCAGTCCGTCCGTCAACTTTTCATTTAAACAACTTCTTCTGAAATACCGAAAGGTGTAGAGTTATCATATTTTGCTGGAAGGTTCCTTTGATGAAGCCCAACAAAGTTTGCTAAAAGAAATGACCTTGACCTATATTCAAGGTCACAGGGGTCAAATGTGTTAAAACGTTTAAAAAATTTCTTCTGAAATATCGAAACGTGGAACATATGCACAGATATAGTACAGTTGGTCATAAAGATCCATGTGAGCGATACAGGCCCTCTGGGCCTTTTGCATTTAGCTACTGAAATACATTATTGGTTTCGCTGCCTTAATTCATCTTAAGTTGACTAGCCACACAGCTGTTGCTAAATGACGAAGCTGAAGAGGATCTCTATAGGATCAAGGTCTGTTATCTGTTTGACATAATTTTATGGCAATGAGATCAAAGTGATTAAAATGCCTTTCAAGTGTCTATATTTGGATATGATGAGAAAAATAAAATACATCAATATGTATCAGTATTGGAGATCTTAAATATTCCATTATCAATGAGAGGGATTATTTGTTTTTTATTATAGTAGTCAATGTCCGACAGACTTTAACGATACGTAACTCATAGATAGGCTTTCTTATTTGGGACGTTAATAAAAAGTGTGCAGACACTGAAAATGTATTGTATAAATTCTACAACACTAATTGAAAATCGGAAAATCAAAACTTCAACAGTTTTGTTGTTCAGCCTGCATTGGTTTCCGATGACATTTACCAAAATAATTACTCCACGCGGAAAAATAATTCCAATCTTTAACGGATATAACAAATTTTACATCCGCAAACTTGTTCATTACACATACTAAACTCACTAATTTAAATAGTTATTAACAATTTTAAACGTAATATTTCGGTAAATTCGTAAAGTATTTATGTAGAATCAATGCACATGATAAAATACAGCTGTTTCCATCCATTGCCAATTACAGCAATAATATAATGTGACAGGTGGAATCTGACAATGGCAGCACAGTTACAGGATAAATCCATAAAACGGCTCTCATAGTTCTTCAGTTTGATTCATATTACATATGAATAATGTTCATTTCGTCAAATCAGTACTCCATACACCGCGAGTAATATTAATGCCTGTTTGGGTCTAGTGTGAACTGGAATATAAAGATGTTACATAAGTTATCATAACTGACGTACGATGATAGAAAATAGCTAGTCTAATACAATGAACCACTGTTAGTTAATGAGAGACTTAACACGAACTTTCAGCAGAATGAAAACTATTTTACCTCCGTTTTATAATCCTGACCAATACCTTTCACATAGTCACTGAAAACGCCAAAAACTCTGCTCAAGCCCACATTTTCTATACAAATACTTCGCACAGCAAAGAATTTTATTCTATACAGAATGCTGAAAATTGTCAACTATGAAATGATTGATGAAAACTTCAACTACAAAAACCAATGAGAGAGAAAATATCAACAACAGACGTGCTGAACTTCAATACATGTTAATACTAAAAAGATTGAACAGTATGTTTAAAGCAAACTCCGAAAACTATCAAATCAACTAAACTAAGCCAGAAAATCCGAAAGCTCGGGCGTACAAACGAAAAATCTGAAAGCTCGGGCGTACAAACGAAAAATCCGAAAGCTCGGGCGTACAAACGAAAAATCTGAAAGCTCGGGCGTACAAACGAAAAATCTGAAAGCTCGGGCGTACAAACGAAAAATCTGAAAGCTCGGGCGTACAAACGAAAAATCTGAAAGCTCGGGCGTACAAACGAAAAATCTGAAAGCTCGGGCGTACAAACGAAAAATCCGAAAGCTCGGGCGTACAAACGAAAAATCCGAAAGCTCGGGCGTACAAACGAAAAATCCGAAAGCTCGGGCGTACAAACGAAAAATCTGAAAGCTCGGGCGTACAAACGAAAAATCTGAAAGCTCGGGCGTACAAAATCTGAAAGCTCGGGCGTACAAACGAAAAATCTGAAAGCTCGGGCGTACAAACGAAAAATCTGAAAGCTCGGGCGTACAAACGAAAAATCTGAAAGCTCGGGCGTACAAACGAAAAATCTGAAAGCTCGGGCGTACAAACGAAAAATCCGAAAGCTCGGGCGTACAAACGAAAAATCTGAAAGCTCGGGCGTACAAACGAAAAATCCGAAAGCTCGGGCGTACAAACGAAAAATCTGAAAGCTCGGGCGTACAAACGAAAAATCTGAAAGCTCGGGCGTACAAACGAAAAATCTGCGCAACACGCTTAGAGCTCCATACAAACGAAAACAACCGCGCAAGACGCTGAAAACTATACCACAAACGATCAGTCTTGGCATCTAGTACATTAAGTATGACAGTCTCGTAAACAACCTCTAGACATTGATTATATTAGATATGGCAAAATCTTACAAGGAGTATCAAGGCACAGGTTACATGATTATATCACAATCCTACTAGGAGTATCAAGGTACATGATTATATCACAATCCTACTGGGAGTATCAAGGTACATGATTATAACACAATCCTACTGGGAGTATCAAGGTACATGATTATAACACAATCCTACTGGGAGTATCAAGGTACATGATTATAACACAATCCTACTGGGAGTATCAAGGTACATGATTATAACACAATCCTACTGGGAGTATCAAGGTACATGATTATAACACAATCCTACTGGGAGTATCAAGGTACAGGTTACATGATTATAACACAATCCTACTGGGAGTATCAAGGTACATGATTATAACACAATCCTACTGGGAGTATCAAGGTACATGATTATAACACAATCCTACTAGGAGTATCAAGGTACATGATTATAACACAATCCTACTAGGAGTATCAAGGTACATGATTATAACACAATCCTACTGGGAGTATCAAGGTACATGATTATAACACAATCCTACCGGGAGTATCCAGGTACATGATTATAACACAATCCTACCGGGAGTATCAAGGTACATGATTATAACACAATCCTACTGGGAGTATCAAGGTACAGGTTACATGATTATAACGCAATCCTACTGGGAGTATCAAGGTACATGATTATAACACAATCCTACTGGGAGTATCAAGGTACATGATTATAACACAATCCTACTGGGAGTATCAAGGTACAGGTTACATGATTATAAACAATCCTACTGGGAGTATCAAGGTATGATTATAACACAATCCTACTGGGAGTATACATGATTATAACACAATCCTACTGGGAGTATCAAGGTACATGATTATAACACAATCCTACTGGGAGTATCAAGGTACATGATTATAACACAATCCTACTGGGAGTATCAAGGTACAGGTTACATGATTATAACGCAATCCTACTGGGAGTATCAAGGTACATGATTATAACACAATCCTACTGGGAGTATCAAGGTACATGATTATAACACAATCCTACTGGGAGTATCAAGGTACATGATTATAACACAATCCTACCGGGAGTATCAAGGTACATGATTATAACACAATCCTACTGGGAGTATCAAGGTACATGATTATAACACAATCCTACTGAAATGTACATCAAACATGTTACATTTCTTCTGGGAAACTCTCGGTATTGGTCACATAATATACATTTATTACAAACAAATCCGAGGCTCTAATTATTTGTAACAGAAAACTTCCTTACATTCCAACACATCACATAGTAGTATAGTAATGAACAATGCATCCAGTTATCCCAGTTTGTAGTGCAATTGGTATTTTGAACAAATAAAATATGTTTAAATCAATTACGCCTCCGGAGTTTTCGTTTCATTTTCGACCGAGCCGCCATTTCGTTTCAATGATCTGGATTTGAACACATAAGGGTTTAAAAGACAGTTTACGGACTTTAATATCATCTGAGTAATGTCGTAAAACTTTCTTTTTGAATTTTTAGATGGATTAATGTATCATCAAGAAGTAAGTCTATTTATAGATTTTAAATCATATATTGTTTAAAAAGGTTTTTAGTGCGTTTTGATTTCCGCCTATAATCAGGAGGACTTAAAGATTATTGTAACATGGTGTAGTTAGTGATATAGTTTATACATTAAGCTCAATTACGACAGGTGATTCAAATCCAGAACCTTCAGATCAATAAAATTACAGTATATAATGTATATTATTTATTGACATTTTGACAGTGTAACACGATTATCATAAAAAAATACCAACATGGCAACATAATTATTATTCACACTCATAT